ATCAGCTGTGAGTAATATGGCTTTGTTTCCCGTTCTTTTACAACAGAGATAAAAAGAAAATTCCTAGTGAATTTTTATATAAATACGATTATATATGTAGTGCACTTTCATTCATTCGGTGAAACAAACTAGTAGAGACACGTACATCAAGAAACACAAGAACAAGTGATTTACAGATAATCAAAGTAGGTAGGCGTTACTCGATCTATCTTCTTTCACTGAAATTCTCTTTTCTTGTCGGAATTTCTAGAAAATGACCGAATGATTTAGGGTTTGTCATAAATTTCGACCGTCTTTTAATTTTTTTTTTCTATCTTTGCGAAATTCAATCGTAGGGAGATATTGAATATATATTATTGAGAGTGTGTTTTCAAACAATAGAATACCGTGATGCATTTCGTCCTAATTTCAAGGACTCATCAGATGGTTTCATAAAATCTGCATAGTAGCTAAACAAAACCTTGAATTATTAGAAATTCAAAATAAATTTTTACCGATGTCGAGGAGATATGCAATTTAAATTAGCAGATAAACTATTATTTAAGTTTTATGAAACCGCCTAATGAGTCCTTGAAATTAGGGCGAAACGCGTCGCGGTATTCTATTGTTTGAACTTATCTTCCCATCCTCACCCTTATCTCCTGTTCCTTTTTTTTTACTGCAATATTCACATGAGATTGTCCAGCGTTTTTTTTTAATGTCATTTGCATTTCGTTATACGTTTTCTATTGTTTGAGTTTAGGAAAAAATAATAGAGTGAATAATATACTTTCTTTTTGAAGATACTATATCATTAGCTAAAGTATGATAAGATTTTCAGTTTCGAGTAAAGGAAACTCAAGGCCGATTATTCTCGAAGAGTTACTTACTTCATGAAGTTGAGTCATTTCTATTATTCAAAGCAATATTTCATATCTTTTGTGGAGATAATTTTTTATCTTATCAGCAGAATTTACCTAATATGACTACAGCTACTTTTATAAGTTACCCAATCTTTAACTGTTTTAGAAACTTTTGGTAAGTAACACTTGAAATCCTTATGGTATTCTCATTTTCTGGACATATATCTTTCCATGCGATTCTTATGAGAATATACAATTACATTGGATGGCGATGCGAAGAGATTATAATTATTAATCTGTAAGCTATATCAAGCGATGAGTTTCACTCGGGAGTGCGGCTTAAGGTAGACCATATTTTTCTTTAATTAGAACCTTTTGAGAAGACATGATGAGTAAACGTAGGATTGGTAAACGAATTTTACTGCTAACTTATGGAACCTAAAAGTTACTTGAGTTGCATCTATGAATGAAATATAGAGGAAATTCGAAATGCCGTCAAAAAACGCATAATAAATAAACTTTTCATAGAAATACATTATCTTCGCTATTCTTGCTGTCTCAGAAAAATCGATGAGAGGCGTTAAGTACAATATTATAAAGCATTTCGGTACTAAAGTAGCTTATGCTTAGTATAAGAAGGTAAATTATTCTGGAAGTATTTAAATTTTCCACAACTCTTGCCAATCTTGTGTTGTCAATAGGCTGATACAATAATAACTAAAAAAATTTCGAGTGACGTTTTTCTCAACTTCTTGTTTTTAGCCAATGTATCATTATTTCTGTTTCATTAGATTTTTTTCATTACTATTGGCTTGTTCATGCATGGATAGTAATAGATCTACAAAACAGAATTCAGAGTTCGGAATAATTTTTCTGGGTAACGCTGGTTCTGGGAAAAGTTTTCTTTGCAATCTACTTATTGGCAGTGAACGATTTGAAGCAGACTTCCGTCCAGAAGCTGTAACAACTGAAACCGAACATCACAAAATTAATGTAGGATCAGCTAAGTGTTTAATTTACAACATACCTGGCTTAGTTGAAGTAAATCAAACTCAAATAGATCGAAATAAAAGAGAAATTATGAAAGCATTCGAAGAATGTCCTGAATCTGTTGTTATATTTGTTTGGACACATGTTGGTGGACGAACACAAAATGATGATGTAATTGCTTTCGGAGCACTTAATGATGCTTATCGATTTCCACCAGAATCACTGTTGTTTGTCGTCAATAATGTACCAGCTGATCGTCCAGAGCGATATGAGGGACTTTTCATTGTTGCTCTCGAAAACGCATTGAAGCCAATTCCAGTTTCTGCGAAAGATACAATATTTATTGATACTTTGCGTCCCGATGATGGAACGCAGAGGGAACGTATGCGAAGCAAGTTAATCCAACACATTTCATTTCATCAAGCTCGTCATCAGAAAAAGATTCATGATATTGTTTTACAATCGGACCAACTAAAACAACTGCGAGAGCTCATTAAAAAACAACAACAAGAAGCAGAACGAGATCGCGCACAACATCAAAAGCGTATTGAAGAAATGGCTCTTCGATACAAAACAGAACATGACGCATTAATGCACCAAATTAACGAAGCAAATCAAAAACAAGAACAGGAGCGAAAAGCAGCCGATGAACGCTATGCAAAACTTAATCAAGAAATGAAAAATGTCAAAGCTCAAGTACCTCTGGAATGCGGAGGAAAAAGGTGCCCAAACTGTGACAAATGTCAAACTCACAAAGATATAAGCGGTGGCGAAGTTTTCGTGGGAACATTGTTAGTACTTCCACTCTTCTATATGGCTACCCAAACTTATCATGACG